TTTTAATTATTTTCTCAAAAAAAGTATTACTACATTATTACAGGTTTCTGATATATTTGTGATATTGCTTCTTGAAAATAACCACTTTCATTTTAGATAACACCCAGTTTTTTCGCTGGTTCGTATATATTGAGGGATTTACAAACATACACACAACATTTCAGCTTTGTTTGTCTCACCTGGTCGTCATCGTCGTCTCCCTCCTCGGCCAGTTTGTGTCTCCCAACCTCGTACAGACGGCACACTGTGTCCAGACTCACTGTGTCCTGGTTCTACACACACACACACACAGAGAATTAAATACACACAGAGAATTAAATACACACAGATAATTAAATACACACAGAGAATTAAATACACACAGAGAATTAAATACACACAGAGCGAGAGTTAAATACACACACACACACATATATAGAGTTACACACACACACACACGTAGTTAAATACACACACACACACACACACACACACACACACACACACACACACACACACACACACACACACACACACACACACACCTTCTAATAAGGGGAAATATGAAGGGTATATTTCATAAATGTTATAGAAATACGTTTCTAAGAATTGTTAGATAATGTTCTCATCATTAATTGCCCTGTGACACAGGGACAGGTGTGCGTTCATCATGACGTGGAACAGGTACACTAAAGCTGCCTTGGAGCACCTGTCATCCATCATAATCACCATTAAATGCTCACGTAGTTTCTACATTTTTACGGCGACAAATTGATCTATTTATTGCATTTATAATGAATGCAGATTTCTTTAAATGTATTTCACGTCTACACCACTTTAGTAAACCATGTTACTACTGAAGTAAAAACAAGTGATCGCACCGGTAAAACTCCAGGAAGTAACCAAAGATGAAAGGTTGCTTTAGTTTGGCATGAACACAACAACATATTTTATTATATATTTTATATTTATATATATATTTGAAGTATTACCTCGATGACAGCCAGGTAGCAGTCCTTGGTGTCGGTGCACAGGTCAAAGATGTTCCTCTTCACATCCACTGTGGCTGAGGAACAAACCAAAAAACAAACTGAGTTACAAAACTAAATCAACTGAAGCTACTCATTTTTAAATGTAATTATTATTCAGAAACCTCATGAAGAGACCCAAAGCAAAGACTATAGGTGATTTAAAATCTCTCCAAAAATGGACTTTAGATTCCCTTTTCTAGTTTATAATAAATGTTTAAGAGCCCGGAAAAGCCCAGGACAGCTCCTCCAACTTCAGGGTGCAGAGGGTAGTTGACCAATGAGATTTGAGTCTGCAGTAAACAGGAAGTGCAGCCTACCAATGGGCTTGTAGTCCGTGGCATCGAAGGTCCTGAAGGAGGAGCCGAAGGGACTCTTCATCTGCTGATCCATGGCTTCGTCCTCATCATCGGCCTGCAGCATCGCTGTGTGAGTGTGTTTGAGTGTGTGTGTGTGTGTGTGTGTGTGTGTGTGTGTGTGTGTGTGTGTGTGTGTGTGTGAGAGAGGGGGTAAAGCATAAGATGTCAGAAACAACAGCAGAACTGTTCTTTGATAATTATCTCGTTCATTCAGAAAAAACAGGACACATATTTTCTTTCTCAAACTCCCTTAGAGAATCACATGAGGGGGCCTTGGCTTGTGTGTGTGTGTGTGTGTGTGTGTGTGTGTGTGTAAATTCAAGGACCCGACACAGCACAGTCTGAGACACTCTCTAGGACCCATGGAAACCAATGAGGTCGCACCAGGTTGACTGGA